CTGTTTCTATGGCAACAACACGGAACATGAACGTTTCATGTTAAATAACAATTAATTAATTAATTAATTAAATTTCTCCGCCATCGATCATCAGACACCCCCGCGCGGTCTCCGGAACAACTGACGTCATCACACTGCGTCACAGGAGGACAACAAACACAATAGACTCTGATCAGTTTCTATGATCTTTGATCGGTATTTAAATAATTGATCGTTTAGATAACCGGTTAAATATCTGTGTGTTCGGTTCGACCGGAAAACAAAATGGACTCCAGCGGGAAAATAAAACCGAAGACACGAACATCTTCACCGTGTTTCTAACCGCCAAACTCCCGTTGTTTCCATCTACTGACTGGACTCTACTGGTTTCTATTAACTGGACTTAAACTGGGCTCTGTAGTTTTTAATAACTGGTTTCTACTGTTGGTAAGTTCATCAGATCAGTTTTATTAAAGTTAAATCATTTCTCATCAAACTGACGGTGTGATCAGCTGTTGTTTTCAATAGTTAATAATCGATTTATTATCGATAATGACCCGTTAATGTCTCTGCAACACGTCATATAATGTGTTGTTGATCGATTAGCTGTATCGGCCCAACATCAGCTCGGTTGTGTCTGAGGTTTATTCAAATATAACAGTGTTATAGTTTGATTATGGATTAATCTGTTGATGATTAGTGACTATTGTCAGAGGTGGAAGTGACGTAACAGGCCTGCATCCAAAACTTTACTTAAGTATTATCATCAACATGTATTTAAAGAACCAGCAGTAACATTAACAGATCTGATAGAATAATAATGATAATAATAATAATAATAATAATAATACATTTTATTTCTGGGCACCTTTCATGACACTCAAGGTCGCCTTACAGAGTAAAATACAATAAAATACAGAGTACAAGATAATTTAACATTTTACAACAAACAAACAAATATCAGTTTAAAAAGCAAACAAAACAAACATAAAATATCTACCCACTCAAAAGAAGGAAAGCCTGAACAGGTGAGTTTTCAGCCTGGATTTAAAGTGTGGGAGTGAATCAATATTTCGGAGGTCAGGGGGGGTGAACTCCAGAGCTGGGGAGCAGAGCAGCTGAATGCTCTGCTCCCCATGGTAGTGAGGCGAACGGAGGGGACAGTGAGGTGAATAGAAGAGGAGGATCTGAGGGTGCGAGCAGGTTTGGTGATAGGAAGGAGGTCAGAGAGGTACAGAGGGGCGAGGTTGTGGATGGCCTTGTAGCTCAGAAGTATAATCTTACAGTGGATGTGGGAGGTGATGGGGAGCCAATGGAGCTGCTGTAAGATGGGTGCGATATGACGGGTGGATGGAGTCCAGGTGATAATACGGGCAGCGGAATTCTGAACCATCTGCAGTTTATGGAGGATTCTCTGGGGGAGACCAAACAGGAAGGAGTTGCAGTAGTCAAGCCGGGAAGTGACAAGACTGTGAACCTGTATGGCAGCGGTGTGAGGTGTGAGGGAGGGGCGCAGGCGGTTGATGTTGCGGAGATGAAAGTAGGCTGACTGGGTTATGTTGTTTATGTGGGATGAGAAGGAAAGCGTGCTGTCGAGGATGACACCCAGACTCTTTACCTGAGGGGAGGGGAGGATGGAAGAACTGTCCATCGATATGGTGAAACTGTGGGCTTTGGCTAGAGAGGATTTAGTGCTGATTAGTAACATTTCTGTTTTATCACTGTTTAATTTGAGGAAATTGCATGTGAACCAGGATTTCATGAAGTCAGTAAGGAATGAGGGAGGGAGGGTGGAATCAGGTTTGGAGGAGATGTAGAGCTGGGTGTCATCCGCATAGCAATGGAAATTAATGTGGTTTTTACAGAAAATGTGAGATGTAGATGATGAATAGCCGGGACCCCAGGACAGAGCCCTGGGGCACACCTGTGGAGACTGGGAGGGGGTGCGAGGTAAATGATTTCAGCTGAATGAACTGGTGTGACTGGATTATTATCACTGATACATTAATGCATTGATCAAGTTTGATAAAGACTGTATATCCTGCTGGGTAACTTTATAACACCCTGTCATAATAATCATTATTAATCAGTTGGTGTGTGTTTTGTATGAACATCATAAAACTGCTGTAACTAAAGCGGTCAGATAAATGTGGCGCAGTGAAAAAGTGTCATATTTGCCCCAAAGTTTAGTCAAGTAGAAAAAGTAAAATACAAGAACCTCAAAAGTGTGCTTAAGTAATTGTACCTACTTCTTGTCCTCCACTGACTGTAGGTTAATAGTGTGGTAGTAGTTCAGAAATACACAAATACTGTATATTGTAATTAATTTATCAGAGATCAACAGACACTTTAGCAAAGCTACACTCGTCAACACTGTTGTGCACATGCCACCATGAAAATACAAAACACAGCCAACACAGAAACACTCACCCTGAGGGGTCAGTCAGTCCTTCAGTGGGTGAGTTGGTTGGTTAGTCAGTCAATGGGTCACCTCTGCTTATGTTCGACTTCTGTTTAAACGAAACCTGATCCAGGAACAAACACGTTATTAAACTGGTTCAGTTTCTGAGCTCTGACAGTAGAGCTCAGACTGAGAGTTCAAGATCAGGGGATTCGCTTTACCATGACGATGACGATGACGATTTTCACCACAGTCTGCAGCAGATGAGATAACTGACTGAGGGTAACAGAGGATGATGTCATCATAAACCTGATCTCACTGATCCAGAACCTGATTTAACACAAACAGGATTTTCTGTTTAACTCTATGAAGTCACAGTTAATGTAAACATACATCTCTGCAGGGCGGAGAACGTTCACTGTCTACAGGAATACTCCAGGTTAAAGTGGTGTCAGTGTGGAGTCGTGTGATTGGCTGGTGATGTGTAACCACAGATCTGTGATCAGCAGCTCCGTCAGATCAAAAATCATCTCTCAGTTATTTTACATTTGCTGATCAGTGACGTCTTGTTGAAGGGTTTGAATGTCAGACATTAAAGACGTCTCCCTCTGCTAACAGCTGACATCCTCCTCTCTGACCTGCAGGCTGTGTTGACGTTTGACCTCCACCATGAGCTCCAGGGTGTGCAGGACCTGCGGGGGGTCAGATATAGACGTGGATCAGGCCCGGGGCAGCGCGGTGTGCACCAGCTGTGGTTCTGTTCTGGAGGACAACATCATCGTCTCTGAGGTCCAGTTTGTGGAGGGAAGCGGAGGAGTGTCGTCTGCTGTGGGACAGTTTGTCTCTGCTGACGGTGAGACACAAACGCTGACACCAGTAGGAAGTGTTAACGCTGAAACATTAACGCTGTTCACTCCTGGTCAGCAGTGACACCGCCCCCTGCTGGCGGTGCCACTGTCTTCCTACAGGGGGGAGCGGCAGCACCTACTTAGTGGAAGCGCTGTCCTCCATGTGGCGCACTGTTCAAAACTGTCTCTGAGCACTGCGCTCACAGTTCCAAGTATTTCAACTTTGACCTTGGTTACTGGTGACCTTTCAAAGAGCAGCCAATGAGATAACAGCTGTTGGACCAGTTGGTAACTACTTGTGACTCCACCAGACGCGCCGCAGCACATGTTAGAACCGTCTCTCAGCTCTGCTCCACTAAAAACACGTCCAGTCTATTTCTGACAGAGTCACGACGCACTGCTCAGAGCAAATAGAGCCGAGCAGGAAGTGAACAGCAACGTCCTGTCAATTTACAAATTATACACCCGGCATGAAACTCCTGAAATTAGAAAAGCTGTTTTCCAGGCCTGGAAGGGTTTGAATAATCGTTGTTTAAAATAAGTTCATAAAAATCCCCAAACACACAACAGGAAATACGTTCTTGTCGTACTAATTTAAAATCTAGTGCAGCGCCATGTGACTGTTGAAATGTCTCCAGGTCTCAAAGACACGTTTAACCAGAACAAATGCACACAGACTTCGCCCTGACATCTATCTGCAGGATCTTCAGTTTTCTGTCCCCCAACAGGGGCGTGGCCTTGACGTTTGAAGAGCCCATGTGTGTCGGTCTGGTCTGTTGGTGTATGCAGCCAGTTAACAGCTGGACTGTCTAACGAGCATCGAAGTTAACAAGTGTTAGCAGTTTATTCACAAAGGCCAGGGAAGCACATGTTCAATAAAGTAATGCATTATCGATATACAGGCCTCCCTTTTTAAATTACGGAAATAAAGTCATGGAAATTGGTTAAAATATTATAAAGACTTTATGGAAAAGTTTTTTGAAATATATTGGCTAAAATGTGTGGAAACCCTGACCCTATAAATGTAAACATAGATCATTATATTTAATAATTATGAGGATGAATGTATTTTAATGACTGAAACAGCCACAGATATTAACACCATGTTAACTTTGTCTTTTGGCTGCAGCACAACAATGTAGGAAACAACAAGGAGCACAATAAAACAGACAAAATAAGAAACATTTAACTTCACAGCCACTGAATGACTGAAGGTAGAAGCAAATATCAGAGAAGTAAAATCTGCAGCTCTACAAAATCCAGCAGGCAAAACACTTCTGAGATGCTCCTGGTGTGGTACGACACCATGCGAAGGACGGAACGAAACCGGGGTCGCAGCCAGGACACAGTGCAGCTGCGTACGGTGTAATCCAGACATTAATCCTCATATTTCTGAATGGAGACGTGCACAGCGCTCTCTCTGTGCAGTTTAATACATCGGAATCTTTTGAGACACGACAGCTTTTAGAGCAGGAAACAAAAGCAGCTCCGACCAAACCTCATCATTTTAACTTTGTGTCCTTATTCACAGGAACAAAGAAATAGAGTAAAAGTCTTAAATGTTTAATTTAATGTCGCAGGAATGTTTTGTTTCAGTCGACTGTAGCTCAGCGCTGAACTGAACCAACTCTGTCACCAGTATTATGATTCTCTGTGAATGAAAAATGAGGCCTCTGAACATCAGTGCTTCCTATAATGAGGTTAGTTTGTAATGTTTATCTAGTACACAGGTTGACATCACTGTGAAGTCACATGACAGAGCATCAAACAGCTGAGTGTGAACAAACTGAAGCTTTATTGAATCAGATTCTGCAGACGGTGTTTGATTCTGTTCTTCATCAGCTGATCCATTTACCTGAGAGGACAGGAACATGTTTACACCCTCAGAGACAACAACACCTGGCAGGAAACTGATACCTCCTCTAAAACTGACTGTTCAAACTAAAACAGGGCGACACGTTCCCTTTTTCCACCACATTAGCTCTGGTTCTGTTCTAGTTTCTTGGAGCCATCTCATGAACCAGCCTACATTTCCATCTATTGTAATCAAGCATGTGTTGTCAGTGGAGGACGCTGCACAACAGAAGTAAACAGCTGAAGCAAAAACAAACAGATTATCTGTGAACTTTTGTTCTGTTTGTACAGATATTTGTTTTTACCCAATAACAAGCATGAACCAGCTGTTAATGACACCGCTGCACGCTCCTCTGTAGTCTCTAGATTTCTCACTTGACTCCGTCCTCACTTTCTGACCTGTACAATATGACACGCCCACTGATGTCGTCACAGTTCACACTTCAGGTCAATAAAAAACTGTTTGGGTTCTTGACCAGTTTCTGTTTTTTTGTTGAAATGCTCCGAACAGTTCAAAATTAGTTGAGAAACCAGAATGGAACTGGTCCCATGTTGGTGGAAGAAGGGATAACTAGGGATGTACGATGTTGGATTTCTAGCCGATATCTGATGTGTTGGCCACTAACCAATATATCCATGTAAAATGATGCAGCCGTCTTCCCTGAATCCTCTGACTGAATATACCTCTTTGTGTGATCGCACCCAGATTTATCTTTATTTTTATTTGTGTATGCCTACGTATGTGACACTCTGTTATCTTTGGTTAACGGCCCTTTCATCGTCATTTACAAGCATGTCAGAGTTTCTTTTCTGCTTTGTTGCGAATCAACGTAGTAGGCAGTGGCTGTGAAATGGTTACACTGATTTATTTTATTGTCTGATTATCTGTTTTAATTTGTGGCATTTCTATATTCTTCATATACACTTGTATATCTTTCATATATGTTGTTTTGTTACCTGTGCCGAATCATTTACATGATGTTTTGCACATGCTAACTTTGTCAATTTGAAAAAAAAAAAAAATGCTTCGTCATCAACAAAATAAACCCAGCATGTTGGCCAATTTCAATATTTGATTGTAAAGCCATTATCAGCTGACTGATGAAGAGCGGATATTATCGTGCATCCCTATGGCTGCAGGTCCATTTTATTAATTGTGAACAGACAAACAGAATCTATGAACACCTGTTCTTCGTACCTCTCATGATGCCTTGGTTAACACTGGCTCCATAACGACCGCCACAGTCAGACCTGGTGTTGATCTTTAGGTCTGAAGATGAACCATCAGAACCATTAGGACCTGTGTGGGAACCAGTAAACCCAGCTCCCCCTGCACTGGGACTGAGGTCCTGGTTGCTGTTGGGATTGTTCAGTGGATATGCTCCGATGTGTGCAGGAGTGTTCGGGATGTTCTGTGGTGCGACGCTGAGGTAGGACGTCCTGCGGGTTGTTCCTCTGGTGTCAGACTGAGTGGTGGGGTTCAGGAAATTCTGCGGCTTGTGTTCATCACGGGTTTGGAGTCTTCCCGAGAGACTGGGAGCAAGTTTGACTCTGATGTGAGATGGTCCTGATGGTGGGGACGAGTAGAAAAACAGAAAAATTTAGATTATAAGTTATAACACAGTGACCGGGATCTTTATTTTTAATTCAACTATTTTTTAATACCTGTTGGTTGATGCACATTTCTCAATGGAGAGACCTGGTCTCCACTGTTTCCTTTATCAGCCACTGACTGGACCAGTTTCTGCTGGTGTTCTTGCTGGTTTGGGGACAGTTCTGTGAGGCGGATCATTGCAGGCTGATCTGATTTGACTTGGACACCATGAACACCTTGTTCCTGCTTCAGTGTTGAGAAACCCATTCTCTTAGGGACATGTTCCTCTCTTATGTTTGAACCTCTGTGTTCAGGATGCTGTTGGGAGGTCCAGCGGTTCCTATTATTGCTGACAGCCGTCGGACCAGTGGAATAGTGGGAGAAATTAGACATTTGTTTGTTTGCTTGTTGGATAAGATGTTTCTGGTTGAGCTGTTGTCCAGAAGAAAGAAATTTGCTCAGAGGTTTAACTCGGATGTTTTGCACTCTGGACTGAACAGTCTCGATGTTCCTCCGTTCAATGGCACCTGGTCTTTCCAGGTTTTGGTCAACTTGGCTGGTTGCGATAGATGTTGGTTCAGTGCTGACGGACCCCTCTGTGTCTCCAGACAAGTCAGACACAGTATTTTTGGATTCAGTGGTTTTGGTACTTGCAGGGACGTATTTCTTGTCTTTGCCAGGCAGAAGTTGTTCACTGCTGTCAGGGTGGTCTGGGTTGTACTGAGCTGATGGTTGAAGAACTGGGTGAGGCTGAGAGGTTTGTGAAGGATCGTTCTTATTTGGAGGTTGGTATCCAGGTATCTCTTCAGTGTTGGCCATTTCCCTATCACCACCTGAGGACCTGTAAAGGCTCAAATCCAGACTTGCCTCATGTAGCTGGCTGAGTTCTTGCACACCAGGAGAAAGATTGACTTGAGGACTCTGCATTTCTTCATTTGGACTAATGAAACCATTTTGGCGAAGAGTGGGCTGGTCCCATGTTAGGCCCGAGTGCCAAACATTGTTACCTAAAATGTTCAGTCCTTGAAATGTTGGAGTCTGACCGAAGCTTTCCCAGTCACTTTCCAACGGTTCCATAACTGGAGAATCAGGAATCCTGCTGGAAGAACTCAAGCCCCCAGCCGGGTTTTCATCAGTGAGTTTCTCACGTCTCACATAGTTGAAGCTCAGTGTGTTGAGGTTTGATAGCTGGATGCTGTCATCCGGTAATGGGTCATATCTGGGAGGAACGTTGGGAAGATGGCCGTCAGTTTGAGATTTGAATACATGTTGGTCCTGCGTCTGAAACATGAGAGGACCAGGAAGAGATGAAGCCTGCAGAGGGACTTGGTGGGTACCAGTAGTTTGACCCTCAGAGGGAGGAAGATTAAAGCTTGGAAAACTTTGGAGGTTTTGGGAGGAGTAGAGCGGCTTGTTGTGTCCTCCTGGTATTGTGATGAAGTGACTGGGCCCCGGTTTGGGCCGAGGCCTGATGCCAGAGTTAGGCAGGACTCCCCCTGCGGCTGGGGTTTGGTATGTTTGGTAGGCCTGGTTAGTCGGGGTGTTGACAGCATTTCCAGCTACCTGATGTGAACAGTCTTTGTCAGGGAGATGTGCTGACCCTGCAGGAAAAAAAGAGATTTTAAGATCCTGTCATTCAAACAAAACTGGCTTTGGATCATTGATAACTCAGATTGTGACCTTTAAGGCTCTTGAAGACTTTGACGGAACCAAATCCAGGAGTCTCTGATCTGAAGATTCTGTCCACAGACAGTCTGTTGACTCCATTAAGTGGATAGAAGCACCTCACTGTCAGCCTGTTCAAGAATCAGACATTTCGTCATCAGTAGTCTCTCACATTTGAGTGTTTGTTTAAATCAAGTTTTGTTTCAGGTATTGATGACGGGCCGAGTCCTTTCAGAGAGAATCAGGCAGCACCAGGTTATGAAGTGTTCAGATGTGTTTTCCTTACTTGAACTGAGATTCTCTGGAGATGAAGTTTGGTCCGTCTGCGATTAACTGTCTGTCATGGAGGATCTCGTTCTCATAAACCATGTATGACTCCCCGACCTGTTAAAACATCTTCACTTTACAAAACTTTAAAGACACTCATCTGAACACACTATCAACACAATCATCTTGGTTACTTGGTTGCTCTTCTTGCTTTGTACAAATGTCATCTCCATAAAACATCTTTATAAATGATGTTATGTGGGTATCCTCCAGAACACCGCCAAAAAATGACCAAGGATTAATCCAAAACCCAGAGGTATTCAGTCTGTGATCACAGAAGACATTAAAAACCAGCAAATATTTACAGTCGGGAAGCTGAAACTATTGAATTTTTGGTGTTTTAAAACAAAATTACTCGAATAAGTAACAGTGTCAAAACTGTTGCACTCGGATCAGCTAATAGTTTCAGCTCTTTTCGGTGGTGAGGTGCTCCTTGTAAGCTCTCCACTCTTACAAAGAGCTCCCCCAGAAATCTTTAAAGTATTTAAGACGTACCATGGCTCTGGTCCCACAGGAGTCCAGCTTGAACTCAAATAGGACTTTGGATCTATCCGTCTCTTTGGGTCCACAGGTGGGGTCAAGCAGGGTGGTTGCTGTGGGCTTTACTGTAGGCCAGGTGGAAGTCGGTGTTGTCACCACCGTCATGGTCCCATCTGCAGAACAGACTGAGACACCACAGAGGGTCAATGTTAGGACTGTATTTGAGTCAGGGACCAATCAGGGTCATTGTTAGGTCTCTATCCAACTCAGGGACCGGTCCAATTAGAATATGTGTTAGGCCTGAATCAGAGTCAAGGGCTGGACCAATCAGGGTCAATATCAGACCCATATCTGTCTCAGACTTTAACTTTTATGTGGTCCAGTAAGAATGTGAGGATTGTGTAAACAAACTTTACCTGGCTGACGACATATTGACCATCTAAACTGAGCTTAAAGAGAGTATTGCAGGTTACCTATCATGTCCTCGGTTTTGAAGAGGCAGCGTTTGGAGGTGGACGTTTGGACCTCCAGAGTTTTGGAGTCCCTCAGAAGAAGTTTAAATGTCCCATAAAAGTTTGACAGGTTGATGTCCTGGGAAGAAAAGATGACTCTGATGAGATGGAGAGTTGACTGATGGCTGAAACTTTTTCACTGTTGATTCGTTTAAATCGTGATATTTTCATTAGTGTTTTAACGGCCTGATTCACTGAAATTAGAAAGATTTAAACTATGGAGAAGATCCAGCTGGGATCAGGCGGTCTCCTGATACTTGAATTAAGTTTTCTGACGGCTGCCATCGATGGACTCTGTGGTTCATGTGTCCCTCAGCTCACTGTGGATTTACAATGTTCCATTTCATTAACTCAGCAGTGAACTGGGAGAAAATCCAATATCAGGTTGTATATTTTCAGCACCACTTAACAGTACAGACCCCCATGTGTCGTGGACTCTTACTTCATACGTGTATCCGATGGAGAACACAGGGACTTCTAGGGTGGTCTTGTGAGTGTCGCTGTGGAGGCGGTAACCTCTTTGGGCTGCTAGCTGTGATGTCAGAGGCTCATGGTCAACGCCCACCTCCCAGAGACTCTCAGCTCGAGGCGGTCTGACCACGCTGAAAGTGATCCCTCCATCTGAACACTGAGCCGTGATCTCTGGAGGAACTTTAAAGGAGAAAGTCTGTATTTAATACTAAAGAACCACAGGTGGTTACTGTAGACGATCAAAGACCAGATGTGCTTACATGTGTTTAATACTCGTGCTGTGATGACGGTGTGGTGGTAGTACGAGTCTCTCTGGGGCATGATGGTTAAAGTGAAGTTTATATCTATGGAGTACTGCACCACACCTTGACCCAGGTTCTGTTGGGATGGAAATAGTGTCTCAGCGACAGGAGGCAGCAAAATGCTTCAAAGAACAAAAACTAATTTACATATTTACTTTGTGTTTCAGTGAGATGACTCAGGTGTCTGTCGTCACTTCAAAAGACAAACAGTTGTGATAAATCCTGCAGGAATCATCCTAATAAACATTTTAGATTAGCATAATTAACTCACAAGTTCAACAGGTTCAGACAGCAGCAGTAACCCCCACTGCTCACAGAGACTGAGATCAGGCCAAAAATCAAGTTCACCCACTAAAGCCAATTTTACACTGCACGAAACACCTGCTAACACTAGTTAACATCAGCTTTTAAATGTAATGGAAAAGGTTTCAATCAGCATTCACTACCAGGTCAAATGACTCTGCAGCAGTCACGTGTATTTATCGAGATGAAATGGCATGCCACTACATGAAACCGTCCATCTCCGTCTGAGCAGCGTCAAACAACGATCCAAATTAGTCTGAGAAAGCGACTCGATAAGTTAGAGATATATGAAAAGACATAACTACTGTAAAGTTTCCACTGACCTCCATGCGGCTTTCTGCTGTTTACTAACCCGTTTTCCAGCCTGTCTGATGAACGTGACACATAGAAAGGCGTACTCGTCTGCTGCAGAGCCGTCGACACAGCTCTGCTCTGCTGGCAATGGGAAAGAGTCCATTGCCTGTGTTTAATGGGATTTACAGTGTTTAAAAAAAAACCTGCATACACACGTTAAGTGTGGTGGGGTTTTGACAAACACAAATCAGACCCAGACTTTTCCTCAATGAAGCATTTGCTGGCTCAGAAACTTGTTAAAACTGGACCTCAGCCAGCCCAAATCCAGACGCAGATGGGTCAGCTCAGCAGCACCAGGCTGAACCTCTGTCCAAGAACCCAACAAGAAAAACAATACAGATTAATTACCTCTGTCAAATTTCGGGTCGCCTCCAGCTCTTGACAAAACTCTGACAGCTGTCCACAATTTTTTAATAACAATCTTTTTTTTTAACCGTATAATTATTAGACCTCTTAAAATACGTTGCTTGTTGAAGGTGTTTTTTTGAGCCAGTTGAAGTCTGGTCACATGATCAGGGTGGAGCCACCTCCGCCTCATTAAAGTTAGGATACCCAGGCTGATCCAGGTTCTGTGTTGTGTTCTCACCATCCAGTGCACCACCGAGTCCTCGAAGGGCAGCCGCAGCTCGTAGGCTCGGCTGCCGTTGATGTGAACAACAGGAGTGACGCTGTAGCCCCGCCCAGTGCTCTCCGACATCATCAGCTGTTTCCCATTGACTCGGACTTCCTCTAACATGACATCAGCAGGAATGTTTCCCAGGTAGACGCTGAACACGTGGTCGTCACTCACGGTGTCTACAGGAAGAACCAGAAGTCCAGACACGAGACGTTGACACTTAAAGACAGAAATATTATGACAGAGGACATCTTCATCTAAATACCACACATTCACTCCCCGTAGGGCTCCTCATTTTATTATGACTTAATTTATGTATCATTTGATAATCAATTTGGTCTGAAACGTGTCAACAACAGCACCAAGTTATTCCTTTAACTGTTTCCTCAGTCTGATCCACAGATTGTCAGTCAAGAGATTAGACCCTGGATGAACTGAAAGCATCATAATTATTAAATCTGTTACTGATTGATTTTCCGTCGATTGACGACTCGACTGTTTGTTTCAGCTCCTGCAGAAAGTGATTAGACTCACTGACGTCTGTTATTATGAACATGTGTGTTAACATTAACCTCGACAGCCTCAATGAAGTCTGGTCAGATCACTCAGCAGCATCTGAAACTGACAATCATCTGACATCACACACATGTTACGCAGTGATTGGTCAGGTGTGCAGAGGTGTAGGAGTAGGTGGAGTTTAACTTCTCTCCAAGCTCTCCATTTTCAACACTTTAACTCTGAGGTGACATTGGTCAGATTGATGGTGTGGAGACTCCAGAGGCAGATAAAGAGCCTCGGGGGGTGTCAGCGGGGTGTTTGAAAGAGATCAGGCAGGAGGTGGGATGCGGCCAGGAGGAGGATTAAGAGTAGGTTAGTTCTTACTGGTCTACACTGGAAGACTTACGGTCGAGATGGAAGGTTGGACGGCAGAGCAGCGGTGTGTCGAGCACTCGGACCATTCGGTGTCTTGTGTCGACGCTGCTGCCATCTTCATACAGCAGAGAGAAGATGTGTTCATACAGCAGGAAGATCACATACGTCTCCTTGTACATGTTGTTCACCACCAAACTCTGCAGAGAGGAAGAGGAAACTGACAGATGCACAGTCTGCTGTCGATCGTGATGTCATGTGCATGTGTTGTGTGACTCAGAACAAAACGTGTCCCTGTCTGAAGTTTGGATGGGACTGACTGTACCTTCCTGTAGCCGCCCTCCGCCCCAAAAGGAACCCCAATCTGGACCAGGTGTCCTTGTTGGACCAGACTGAATCCTCTGGTTGCAGCAGTGACTTCGTCCAGCAGGACCCCCTCCACCCCCACACTGAGGCCCTTACTTTCAAAACCCGCTCCCTCCCCGACCAGAGGGGTCACAACCCGCGGGACGTCCCAGAGCAGCCGGGCGCCGTCAAAAGAACCCGAATCTGAGGGAGGATCAGCAAAATAACCATTGGCACCATTTACCTGTCGGACAGAAGCAGCTTCCTGTTCATTCAGGTGTGTTTGTGTGAGAGAACTTACTGACGGTGCAGGCCATGGACACATCGATCATCATCACTGTCAGCTTCTGCTTAAAGAACAAAGAAGCCTGGACGACCTCCACAGGGACGCCGTCCACCTGAAGATAAACAGGAAGATTCATTTCTTTAAAAAAAGAAAAGGAACAACTTCAGTGTTTTACCACCGTTCACTCAAGTCACATGACCTACGCCAGGAAAAGCTCAGAGTGTGAAGTCACCTCTTCATTAAAACATTTTGTTTGACACTGCAGCCGTGAACCTCACAAGGTTACCCACCATGATGAGCTCAGCGTGCGGTGGTTTGTACTGTGAACGAAGCACCACCCTCCGGGCGGTGGTGGTCAGGCTGTAGCCCCACCCCTGGGCTTCACTGATGGACATGGAGGACGCCTGACCGTCCCTCTGCAGGAACATCAGCTGCCAGACTGAAGACGCCGCCCTCTGAGCCTGAACGCCACAAACCAAACATGTCCGAACATTACAGAGGACTCAGGAGAGTTATGAAAGCTGCAGATTTGACCAACCAGTCAACACTGTTAAGACGAGCCCGTGTTGAAAATCAATTTTACCCGTTGACCTCAGCTCAGAGTCATGACTGAACCACCCTGAGTGCTGGTTTTAAGATATCAAATATCACTGCAGATAGCGAGCAGATTCCTTAACATGGGCGACAGAGTGTGGATGAAGAGCGGCCTCCTCAGAGATCACGAGTGTTGCAGTTTATTTGTGTCGGTGTGATTTTACCTGAGAGAAGGCGGCCTGCCACATGTCTCCACTGTCCCCCCGCTGACCTCCACATGAGGACTCTCTGTTCACGTTCACCTGGTCCACATCAAACCACATCAGTCTCAAGACAGTTCACTTTGACATAAGTCTGTTCCAAGACTTCATGTAAGGACAGACTCTCAGAGGTAGTAGTAGTTCTGACCTCCATGTAGTCCTCCTCGCAGATGACCTCTCTGTGAGTCCAGCTCAGACCAGAACAGACGGCAGAAACAGGCCGACTGATCCACGATCCACCAGCGTCACTCACCATCACGTTAAATCTGAAGGTGAACACCTCGTCATCCTGGAAACACAGACTGATGTCAGACTGAGCTCTGACATCACCACAGGGAATACACAGGAGACACCTGATGATGGGTGGAGCTACCTGATATTGGAGAGCAGGGGCTACCTGGTGGTCGAGAGGTGAAACTACCTAATGGTGAAGAGTTGGAGCTATCTGGTTGTGGGTGGAGCTACGTGGTGGTGCAGAGGTAGAGCTGTTTCATAGTGAGTGAAAGTGTCTGGTGATGAAGAGGCAACACTATCTGATCGTGGGTGGGATTATGTGGTAATGGAGAGGTGGAGATATCTTGTAGTGGATGGAGCTACCAGGCGGTGGAGAGATGGAGCTACCTGGTTGTGGGTGAAGCAGGAGTAGTATGAAGCTCTGAAGGTGGTGAAGCCATCCATCTTGAAGGTGCTGATGGTGTAACCGCAGCGGGAGGCGAGCTGCTTGCTGATGGAGTAGACACCATTTTCATCTATGTCAGGATGGACGGAGTGAGATCAGGACAAACGCCACAGGACAGGTAGATGGACAGGTGTACTCTGGGAATGAGGACTACAGAAGCATCAACATGAAGAACTGACCTACAGCCTCAAAGCGAGGCGTCTGCACTGAGGTCACCTGGATCCACAGGTAACGATCCCGACACTCGGACCGAACAGCAGCATCAACAAAACCTGACAGAGAAACTGAACCACGTCAGCTACAACTAAGTATTCTTTACAGGACATGGAGGTCCTGCAGGAGGTCAGAGGTCACAGAGGTTCAAGTTAGTTTCTGTGGTTGTGAAGAAAATAAATGAAACAGATATAAAACATATACCCCCCCCCAAATCAACAGTTACTGTTAGAAGACCCAGTAACAATCCACCAGTAAAACCAGTTTACCTTCAGCTGTAGTTTGTTCTGTAAAGTCACAGCAGATAAAGACGAATCTGGAAAAAAAGGAGTCATCAAATTCAGTTTTCAGGTTAGTGCTGTTACCTGTGCAGGTGAGGTTTGTTTTACCTGTGCAGGTGAGGTTAGTGTTTTTACCTGTGCAGGTGAGGTTTGTTTTACCTGTGCAGATGAGGTTGGTGCTGTTACCTGTGCAGGTGAGATTGAACTCACCCGATGATGAAAGCAGCAGTTTTCATGTTGAAGCTGCAGAAACCTTCTCTGTGTCTCCTCTGTGTCTGTGGAGGAAGAACTTCCCCTCTGCTCTCAGGTGAGCTAATCACCTGGTCGTCATGGTGACACAGGAGCCAGGTGAGGCTGGTTGAGTCTGATTATAGCTGGAGTTTCTCCTCATGTCTTTGGTGGTTACTGATGATCAGAATATTAATACACAGTAGACTCTGTGTGGTTTATGATGAATGTGTTCAGTCTGTGACGACTAAACTTCACCATCAGTCACACAACATGTTTCTGTTACACAATAAACCTTCAGATCAGACAAATCAAATTTAAATCTCAGAAATTCAACAAAAATAAAAGTTTATCTAAACGTCATCTTGTTGAGTCGACATCTGAACCAATCAGCTGTTAGATCAGGTGAGAGCCAGGCGGTGCAATCGGTGGAGAGCAGCTGCAGCGCCTGGCTCTAAAAACTGCAGCCGCCTCGCTCTCGCTGTTTTATTGCCGTCCACTTTTGTAATACATCAGAGCAAGTCGGGATGAAGTCGGACACAAAACTAACCAGCATGCATTGTGCTCTGATCGCCAGTGATCGAATCTAAAGCTCTGAAGGTGGTGAAGCCATCCATCTTGAAGGTGCTGATGGTGTAACCGCAGCAGGAGGCGAGCTGCTTGCTGATGGAGTAGACACCATTTTCATCTATGTCAGGATGGACGGAGTGAGATCAGGACAAACACCACAGGACAGGTAGATGGACAGGTGTACATCCCAATCCTGATCCAGATTCTGACCAATCCACATCCAAAACCTGATCCTGATCTCAATCCTTATCTTGATTCTGATCCTAATCTCGATCCTAAATCTAATCTTGACCCTGACCCAGATCCAGAACCTAATCCTGATCCTGATCCTGATTGGTCTGTTCACTGTTGCTGGTTCTGGGTCGCTCAGAGTTCTGTATCACGCACTCATTAACACTCACCTGTCCTTCAGACACCTGCTCAGGGTGGAGGTCTCCATGTGGGCAGCAGGAGGGTGGAGATCTGCTGCACCTGCTGAACAAACTGTGAGCACGAATAGTTCAGACAGGTGTGTCTGTCTCTGTGGACTCTGACAGGGAGACAGGTTAATTGACCTCAGATGATGAAAGCTGTCTGTCTGTCTGTCTGTCTGTCTGTCTGTCTGCGCGCAGGTCCAGTTAAAGCTCCTCTTCTCGGTTCTGGTTTTCACACCAGTGTTGGAAAAGAGTCCAGAGCCCAGACCCTGCAGGGCGGTGAGTACCGTCATCATCATCATAATCATCATCATCATTAGACACATCAAGTCCCAGATCAGGTCCACACAGACTGCTTTACACTGATTAATCATCTGTGTGTGTGTGTGTGTGTGTGTGTCCAGGTAAGCGTCAGATCCAGCAGCTGGGCAGTCAGCTGCAGTTGAATCAGCACTGTTTGGACACGGCCTTCAACTTCTTCAAGATGGTTGTCAGCAAACACCTGACGCGAGGACGAAAGACGGAGCACGTCATCGCCGCCTGCCTCTACCTGGTGTGTCGCACCGAGGGGACGCCACGTATCCTAGCAACCACGGACACACGCTGTGTCATGCTGTGTGTGTGATTTCATCTTGGTTTGAAGGTTTGAGCTGAATTATGTCAATGTGGACGTCACTGTCACCTTTGACCTTCAGACATTCTGCTGGTTTTCCTGAACTGTGTTTCAGACATGTTGCTGGACCTGAGCGACCTGCTGCAGGTAGGACTGAGCTCAGACCTGCAGAGACCTGCAGAGACCTGCAGAGACTCTGTGCAGTTCTAACTTTGAGTTTCATGTGTTCAGGTAAACGTTTACATCCTGGGAAAAACCTTCCTGCTGTTGGCTCGTGAGCTCTGCATCAACGCTCCCGCCATCGGTGAGAACTCTCATTCACTCTGTTTACTCTGAAACTAATTATATTATATTCTGAACACACTCAGTGACTGATCTGATGAGATGGTGACACAACTCTGATAAAACCACTGCGTCTCTGGAGAATTCATCAAGACACCACCACTTTATACAGAAGGCAGAAAGTGCCTGCGCTGCGATTATATGACTCCTCCCTCCAGTCCACCCTGTGGTTGTATGACTCCTCCCACCAGTCCACCCTGTGGTTGTATGACTCCGCCCACCAGTCCACCCTGTGGTTGTATGACTCCTCCCACCAGTCCACCCTGTGGTTGTATGACTCCTCCCACCAGTCCACCCTGTGGTTGTATGACTCCTCCCACCAGTCCACCCTGTGGTTGTATGACTCCTCCCACCAGTCCACCCTGTGGTTGTATGACTCCTCCCACCAGTCCACCCTGTGGTTGTATGACTCCTCCCACCAGTCCACCCTGTGGTTGTATGACTCCTCCCACCAGTCCACCCTGTGGTTGTATGACTCCTCCCACCAGTCCACCCTGTGGTTGTATGACTCCTCCCACCAGTCCACCCTGTGGTTGTATGACTCCTCCCACCAGTCCACCCTGTGGTTGTATGACTCCTCCCACCAGTCCACCCTGTGGTTGTATGACTCCTCCCACCAGTCCACCCTGTGGTTGTATGACTCCTCCCACCAGTCCACCCTGTGGTTGTATGACTCCTCCCACCAGTCCACCCTGTGGTTGTATGACTCCTCCCACCAGTCCACCCTGTGGTTGTATGACTCCTCCCACCAGTCCACCCTGTGGTTGTATGACTCCTCCCACCAGTCCACCCTGTGGTTGTATGACTCCTCCCACCAGTCCACCCTGTGGTTGTATGACTCCTCCCACCAGTCCACCCTGTGGTTGTATGACTCCTCCCACCAGTCCACCCTGTGGTTGTATGACTCCGCCCACCAGTCCACCCTGTGGTTGTATGACTCCTCCCACCAGTCCACCCTGTGGTTGTATGACTCCGCCCACCAGTCCACCCTGTGGTTGTATGACTCCGCCCACCAGTCCAGCCTCTCTGACAGTCTCCATCCATGTCAGTGAAAACATGGATGCTTCACACACAGAAGATCTATACAATCAGCACAGTTTCAAGATTAGAGTCACCAATTCAGTATCTGACCAAATGTCTCCCCTTCTGTTCCTGAGATATGACGTTAAAACATGATGATGTCACAGTCAAGCTGACCTTTGACCTTTTGACCTTCATTATTTTATCCTGTTAGACATTTGTGTCAAGTTTGGTCAGAATTAGTGAATGAACTCTTCAGTTATGGACAAAAACATGTTTGTGAGGTCACACTGACCTTTGACCATCAATTATAATCAGTTCATCAATGACCTGGAGTGGATGTTTGTGTCAAATTTAAAGTAATTCCCTCAAGGTATTCATGAGTTATCGTATTCACGAGAATGAGACGGATACAAGGTTACAGTGACCTTTAACAAAGAAAAAAATCTTAGCAGTTCCTCGTTGAGTCCAAGTGAATGTTTGTGCCAAATTTGAAGAAATTTCCTCAACATGTTCCTAAGATTTGACATTCAGAAGAGTAAGACAGACAAGGTCAAGGAGACCTGACCTTTTACCTTTGACCACCAAAATAAAATTACTTAATTGTCAAGTCCAAGTGGACCTTTGTGCCAAATTTGAAGAAATTCCCTCAAGGTGTTTTTGAGATATCATGTTAGCAAGAGTCAAACAGACAAGGTGACTTTGCCCTTTGACCACCAAATATAATCAGGTCATTGTTCAGTCTCAGTTAACACTGGTTCCAAATATGACAAAAATCCCTTTAAGGCCTTTGTAAGATATTTTGTTCCTAAGAATGATACATATACAAGGTTACAGTGACCTTTGACCTGTGACCACCAACATATTATCAGTTTATCATTGAGTCTGAGTGGATGTTAGTGCCAAATGTTAAAAGCCTTTCTTAAGTATTGCATTCACAAGAGTGGGACAGACAGACGGAGATTTCAAAATCATGATGCCTCAGGTTATGGCCATGACTGGTGTGGAGGCATACCGACAGCTGTCGGTGTCTGGACGTGCATCACGCGACATCGTTGCCTTGACGTCACCCCCTCTCCTCACATAGAAAATAAACACAGCTACAGACTCGGATCTGACACGGAGCAGTGTTGTTGTTCGGAGACTGTGACCTTCAACATTATATCCTGTTTTCCATCATTTGAGTTTTGACTGGAACTCTTTGAATCACCTCCTCTTCTTCTCAAGTCATGTCAAGTTCAACTTTATTGTTGTTCTGCACCGACCACGTCTGTATTAATCATCATCATCACCATCATCATCAACACCGTCATACTCACATTCACACAGCAGGAGGGGGCGGAGACAGGACTTCAGTCAGGGTTTATTTTACTTTCATTTTCTTTCTGGAGATTCAGTTCATATTCAAGCTAAATTTGGATGAAACTTGATCATCGTGAGACGAACATTTAAAGGTGAACTCTGCAGGATCATCGGTTACTGTTTTTAAACACCAGTCATATTAAAACCCACATTCACTGACATTTGTCATTTCTGAGATACCTGGGGTTTACCTCAATTACCTCAACAGATACCACAATTATAAAGACTGTGTACACACAAAAACGAGGCTTGAAAGAGGCGTACGCCACTTCCCACGGAAAAGAGAAACTTTGACCCATTCTTACAAACATTTAGGAGACGGGAAATTGGTGACGCAGGCGGTGAGGTGGAGCCTGATTGTAGAAATTGTTGAATATTTTTTGGTGCACACCATTTTTGGCTTTTGTCTGTGCGTATATCTTTAGTCTGGATCCTACGTTTTATTAATGAGACTCTGGCTGCCAACAGTCTGACACCTGGTCACTACCTTTTTATTAAGCCTCACCCTCATCTGAGTGCTGTGAGGGTACACACCCAGAAACATCCAAATACAGGAAATAAGAAGTAAATAATAAAATCCAGACTGATAAAAAGGGTCCTTTGTCATGATTCTGAGTCTGTACGTAGTTTTTCAGAGAATTCTGCAGTTTAACTTTAAATCTGAACGAACAGAAACACAACGCTCTGACCTCAAACTAAAAAGGTTCCAGAAGTATGAAAGATAAATATCGAACATCACTGATGTTTGAATAAAAAATGAAACAGAACATTTAATCTCTGACTCCATGTGAATTTTTTCAGGTTTAAATCAAATCAGAGTTTTGGGTCAAATACATTTTAGATATAAAACATAAACAAACAGAATCATGTCAAAGAAGGAAACAATGAGCTGTGG